TCTTCTAATTTGTCGGCAGTACTTTGTCGGCTAATCAATCGACTGCCTGATTACCATGCAACAACCACCGCGAGTACTCGCTTCGATTGCCTTGCGCGCGTCTGAATGCAGCCGATTGCATGCGCGTGCGGGCCCTTTGTGTCCCAAATCAATATTTTGTACAACACGTAAAATTATCAATTCGTGCAAAAATGCGCGACGTTAAAATGCTGCGCGTTGTCTTCGAAATTAAGATCTTTTCATTTTGTTCGGCAATCAGACTTTTTCGGGCCGAAAGAAGGAACAGATTGGTGAGAGAAATAAAGCTTAAAAGCTCCGCCATCAAATCTGTTCGGGGCTATATCGCTCTCAACGCTTGACGTATTCCGCCAGAGTCGGACGTGTTAATCACCGTATTTCCCCTAATACGACAAAACGATCAGCGACAAAGAAACGACGTCTTTAAATCACCGGAGGCGGTCTTGTGGTTCGGACGTTAAACGGCGTATGCCTAAATCAAGTTAATCGTACGGAGCACGACTAAACGGATGCTATATTGAGACGTGCAACGTGCAAAGAAGTATGAGCGTCCTCGACGTGAAATGGGACGCGCTTGCAATTACGCGTGAAATGAACGCGACGATGCGTACAGTCGTCGTGAGTGTGCGACGCGTACACACGCGCGCACACGCACAGGCATCCTTTCCGCGTCAACAGTCGCGGATGTCCAAATGCTGGAGAACGCTGTTCAGATCTTCACTTTGTTTCAAGTAGATACGATAACACAAATCTGACGTTTAAATGATTAGAAGCAGGCTATCAAAATAGATGAGTAATTTCTGTTTTCAACACGCGTGAATCGCGTGGGCGCGCGCAATGGAGACGGCTGTTCCGCTAATTTGTGCACACTCAACGAGAGCCAAGCTCCCTTGTCCCCCGCCAGCCCCCCCTCTCCCCCCCGCGTCGGTGAGTTACGGTGATGTGCGACGCTGCCGGGAGCCAGCTCTCGGTTTTCGCGACGCCCACCAATTTGCTAACCATCGATTTCGACTAGCACGCACACCCGCGCGCACCGCCGCCAATCGCGAATCCGGCCCCTCTCTCTCGTTCCGCGCCGCTATGTTTAGAAACGCACGCGCGGAACACTCTTTGGCGCTTAACAGTCGGCTAACCGCCGTCGACTCGCGCTCCGTGAGTGATGGATTAGCAGCATTCACGGCAGCCGGTCATTCACAGGAAGCTGCCGCGGCTTTCGGAGAAGTGTGCAAATTTTTCGCGCTCGTGTGTAAAATTATACGATTATTGAAGCATTTTTGTAGACATTAATTATACCGATTACGCGAGACGTTTTATCAAAATGTTTTATCTCCAAATCTCAATAATCTGAATGTAAATGACGATTAAGTTGAACTTTATAATAATAAATATTTATATACAAAAGTATGCTTTGATCTGTTATCTCTGTCTGGTTCAAAAAATTTTTCGAATATAATAAAATATTATCAAAAATTAAACTTAATTCGATCGGAATCATTTGACACAATATGTCTGCGTTTGATAAAAATTACAATTTTAAGAACGCCGAGATTTCAAGATAGAAAATAATGTTGCAGTTTCAAGACACGAAAATCACACCAAAAAAAAAAAGAACGCAAAGACCCGATTCCGGCTGAAAAGGGAGCCAAGCGGAAGATGTTCCCGTAAGAACAAATTGGCCGTCGGACGCGATTGGTAGCGGGAGCAAACCGCGACAAAAAAAAAGCGAAAAACGCGCGTACATGTCGTCCCTCCGCCTTCTCTTGCTTCTTCTCGGACCACATAACTAACGGCAGGCAATTAAAACTCGGCCGGTCGCGAGCATTTAAGCGTCGACATTTCCGTTCACACGTGCGTAACGAGTCGAGCGGGACGCGCATCGACGCCTCCGCCGCGCAAAAAGACACCGGCGACGGCGCCCGCCGCGTCGCTCCGCTCTGAGAAGCGAACAGCGAGACGAGATTTAAGGCCGTCTGAGCATTCACGGTCGGAACTCTCCTATTCTATGTTCTGCGCGACCAGCAAACCAGCCGCACATGGCGGCTCGTACAACTTGGGGTTGAACATTCCTTTTTTTTTTACTTATCATGCGCGACAGTCGCACAATGCAGTTGGAATTTTCGGTCTTATCAAGCCGTCGAATATGACGGCTCGAATTTAATGTAAAGTTAAAATTTGTGAAATTGTTTTTTGTCAGAGATAAAGCAATTTGTGATTTGCTTTTTTAACAACAGATTACACGGTGCGATTAAATTTCAATCCTTTCCGTGGACGTTGCAGCACGATATTTGCATATGCGTATATTTTTGTAACGAACAATTAATGTTTATTTTGTATACCGTTATTCAGGATTAAAAACTTGAATTATTTGTGCATTCTGCAGCGCTGGTCTGGCGCATGCCTAGCATTTTCCACTGGCGTCGTGGCTTGCCCCAATTTGTCAGTGACTACTTTGCAGGGTGAAACTCGTCTGGCCGATTGCCACTCCTTGGTATACAGCTGGGATTTATAGTCTTTCGTTCTTCCTCGGAGATGATGTACCGGATAAAGTATGTGTAAAGCCAAACCAACCTCATCCCTCTGTGTGCCAGTATTATGTATCGATGCAGCCAAATATTATAAAACAATATCGCGAGAAGAACGTTTCTCTGAAAATTCTCCGAATTTTTATTTCGAATATGTCATGTAATATATGTTCACATATGTTTGATTAATTCTTTAAAAAAGCTTGTCAAATTTTCTATTTACGAGAACTTTGTTCCTTGGCAGAAAAGACCGACACAGGATGAACTATGTTTAAAGACTTTTCATCACTCGCGCAATAGCTATCTTCTGCCTGTGTCACTTCTCTAATTTTACAAGGCGTTAAGTGCCACTTTGTCGAGCTTTGTGCTCAATTCTTCGCCTCTGCCGATACTCATTTCCGCCTCTCTGTCGCACAAATGAATGCAAGCGCTTTGCCATAAACTTCTCTGACAACAGCTCGTAAAACCGCATCCGCTGTATTCAAATTCGAGAAAGACTATTAATAATCATAAAGTTATTATTAGATTAATAGCGAAAATTATTCGAATAAAATTATGATATATAATCTTAAAATTATTAACTAGAATAAATTATTAGAAAATAATTATAAATATAGCTTTATGAATATAAAAATTATAACTAAAAAAATCCGATTAAAACGTCATGCGAGAGTGCGCTAATTAGTGTAATAATTACAAATAGAATTATTATTTATGTATTTAACAGCATAAAGATTAACATTAACATTAGTATTAACATTAACATATTGTTATTAGAACACTAGAAATTTGCTAGAAGAGAATGGTGTATATTTGGCAACTTTACGATCCAATTAAAGTGACGAGGCTAATGAGTATCGAAATAGTGTCATTACTATATGCATCGATTAGCCCGCTTGGAGCCACTTACAACGTAAATGATGCGTGGGCGTAAACCCATCCTAAAATTTGACGTACACGACGTACACATGAAATAACGTATAATGTTTCTAACGACTTGCCAAATAATAATTTATAATTTAGTAATTAACTCTTCCTAAATTAATAACATACTTTTCTCATTTTTAAATAGCGCAGCCAAAAGAGATGAAGTTGTTTAATACTGAGATTGCAATAATCGACAAAATTAAATTATTTTGCAACTTCGATATATCGCTGAAAAAATTAATCACTAAAATTCCTCTTCGAGAAATGTTTTATTGTAATTAAAGTAGTAATTTATTTTTGCTGGAATAATTAGAGTTTAAAAATTTGAAACTAAAATACTTAAAGTACTTTAATAGTAAAACAGAAACTGAGTAAAATTAAACCAATAATGATGTGATCGCGAAGATATGACAATCAGAAGACGAGGCGACAATAATATCGGATAATGTGCCGTGAATAGATGCATGTCAATATCCTCGCGGGCGGATCGACTGATACCAGCCCTGATAAGTCGGCTTGTTACGAAGCATTCTGTGGCGTGAAGGATAACTTAATGGGGAACACATTGAGGTTACAAAATAGATCACGAAAGAAAGCAAGCTCGTTAACGTCGATCGTTTCGTGTTAGAGAACGCAATTAGCCAATTACCTGTCAAAAGTTTTTCGAGCTTTAAAAATTATTGGTTAATAAGTTGCTATAATGTTAGTATATAAAATTTATCCAATTTTGTGTGTTGTAAAACATAATATTACAAAGCATTACATGTCTCGTAATTATTGTCCTTGATAACAATGATAATGTAAATTGTATTTTTTATGGTAAAATTGGTAAAAAACTTCGTCTCAGCAGTAAAGAGAAACATGACTTTTTTAAATGTATCACACAAAATTAACTTCTCTTACCATAACAAGAGCTTTACAATCTAAGCCTATCAGCAATAATTTTAATTATAAATTCTTCTATCCAGCTGCAGATTTACTTGTTTCAAAAAGCGATTATCAACTCTACCTCTTTCAAAGTTGCTCTTGAGGCTTTTGTTTTCTAAGAGAACTTTCGAGAGTTTTATTTTCCGAGAGAGCTACTCTCGAGAGCTTCCATCTTTCATCATCTTTCATAAGTGCTGTTTAGTTAAGGAACATTAATTATGCCATCCCGTCGTGTGACATGTAAAAATGAACCTTATATTACGACTGTCCTGAACTGTCCACACTGTTTTCAATCTCAAAGCACACGGATGCAAGCACTTCGGATCAAAGTCTGGCACCAAGATGGTGGGTCAGCCGACCGATAGGCGCGGCCGGACGACGCTGTTGGTCCGCACGCGACCAATCAGGGTCGCACGAAGGTCGGTAACAACGTGGCCACGCCATCCGTTGCACCGGAGAGAGAGAAAGAGAAAGAGGAGAGAACGGCGCATGTCGGGGAATCACGAATTAAAATACCTTGTTCTATACCCTCGGCAGTCGCCCGTCGACCCGTGCGCTGTACGGTTGCGATTTCGTTACAACGTGTTATAACGTATTTATCTCGCGAGTGTTATCGCCATTGTTATTAACGTGGTACAGAGCTGTTCGTAATTATGGTTATTGAATAGAAAAAAAAAAAACACCATTCCGAAGATGGACGTCAACAATTCTAGAAATTTGCATTGAATATAATTATAATAATTTGTATTGTCACTGTGCTAATGCAAAATAATTGAGGCTGTCAGATTCTCTAGATGATTAAGAATATTTTACAGCTTTAATGGTGTCTGATATAATAATCAAGTGTGTGGCGTGAGTTCAACAAAACATTAACATCCTTTCATATTTTATTACTGTCCCAGACAAATTTGATTATTTATCCGTCAGTTTTATTCAACACAGCTATACGCTAACTACAGCTGCCGAACCGAAGGCTGTTTCAATAGTTAAAGCGTGAAAAGGATCAATAATATGAAATATATTTATGCTCTTACTAGACAACATCTCACATGACACAGATTTCCAGACACAAATGTTCATAAATTTATAATGCAATAATTATTGGTGTTTTTGCTAATTAAGAAACTGGAAGGATTAATAATAGCAAAGTATTTGACTGCGCTATAAAAAATTGTGATCAGTGCCAAAGTACATTAACTTACACTTCAACTGAAGTCAAATGCATCGGAAATTATAGTGATTTTTCATCGTGAAAGTATCGTCAACAAAATGTAAAAGGAATTATTGTCGATACATTGGCTGCCTTCAAATTAAAAGACTCTAATTTTTAATGGTGTGGTCAACAATAATCTTTATATATTACATTGCAATACTATATAAAATAAAAGGAAAGAAGAGAATTGATGAGAAACGGTAAAGATTATCCACGATATAATGTTCGCATTAAAAAGTGCCATAGCTACTGCAGTGCAAATATGCTAATATTACGCAAAACAAGATAAAAGAGAAGATTATAAAACAATTATTAATAATTAACAAATCTAGTGATATAACGCGCTCTAAGATTAATTGATAGCATCCGAATTTATGCTGCAGCAATACCGGCAATTTGAAAAAAGCTATTTTCACATTTGCTGGAAATCTCATTCAAAAGTCCAGTGGACAACATAGATACAGATCTGCAGTTTTCTCAAGATACGCGTGGAATTCAACAGAAGACAAGAACAAGACGTTATTTTTTAAGACTCCACGATTTCTTAAGCCGCGCAAGAGAAACGGCAACTTCTCTACGCGAAGAAGGATCACTTATGCTTCGCACGTAGTATCTCGAATAGAAATCGGTTCCTCTCGATTTTGGACACCGTTCCATCGAGCTTGAGGAGCCATCATGGACGCAAGCGTGGAAGAAACCGAGCTCGACGTCGGTTCAGCGAGCGACGAGCTGGAGTCATCGGCGCCGGAGCCGAGGCACGCGCGACGTCCGACGCCGCGGCCCTTCACGATCGAGAGCTTGATCGGCGGCGCACGCGAAGATCACGATGCCAACGGTGGCGGCGTCGCGCGGGACGACCGAACGAACGGCAGCGAGGAGGAAGAACATCGGGATCGAGAGTACCAGCTCTATCAGAGGCATTATCTAGCGACTGCCGCGGCGAGTACGTTACCTTCAGGTGAATATTTATTTTCTGTTCGCTCAATGTTTAGTGGATAATATGAGAAATTGTAAATTATATCAAAATTTATATGTGTGGTCGAACTTTTATTTTCTGAACTATTGTACGCAGAGGTATGCAATATTTGATCATCAGTTAAAACTTTTTTGTAGAACGGTTACTTCTTAGAAACACGAAAAGAAAAGAGTTTGCGATGAAGAACGGAAGATTTTACACAATCGACATTTTTGTTTTTCTTGTGCAATTTTTGTCTTTGAAGAACTGGTTATGTTGGTTATATAAAGTATAAATGTTAAATTATTTAATAAGAGTTCTTCAGATGCGAAAAAATATCGACATGTGCAAAAAGATAATGTCGTAACCGCGACTTAAAGTACATGGTTGCAAGTGTGTAAAAATGAGCGAATCGATAACCGCAGCGAAAAGAACGCATATATATATGTACTGTATATATAATGTCTGTCGTATAAATTCATTCAGCATTTGTTAATTTCTGTGATCTATTAAGAAAATTGGCAAAAAATTAAAATTGTGTCAACAATATATATTACTATAAATACACTTATTGTAAGTAATAAAAATAATTTTTGAGATTTAAATAATTTTTAAATCTGTGAAATTGAACATTTTAGAACCTCAAATCTACAAAATTGTAAAATAAGTTATCAAAAAACATAAAAAAAACTTTAATTATTTTCGCTTTACAACATATACATTTTCTATCGATTTTAAATTTACTTATAAATAAACAGTTATTAGCAAATTTTTGAAGTGTCTTAATAATGTCTTATTGTATTTATACATTTATAAGTTTGATTGTTTTAGAAACTTTTAACATTGGTAAAAGAATAATTTTTTATTTAAAATATGTACAGCTATAAAATATTAATACTGCAAATTTATAAAATATAATTGTTATTGCTGCTTTGCATTAAATCCATCTGATTGTCATCTTCCGTCGGAAGAATTGTGGCACATATTAATTCGATCGATCGCTGGTGATTGACGCAGAGATATTGACACATCTTTTGATATATGAATAAAATGCGAATAATTCAGTTTTTTTTTTATTGAATTATATACACGCAAACAGATTAAACACAATAACAAGTATACTCGTCAAAAATTGCATCTATTCACTGTAACATTGAACGTGTATTAGTTTCGGCCTTTGAGAAAATTAATTCAAATCTGCGTGATATTTAATATGCTTTTCTTAATTAAATACAACTGTTTACTGTTATTGATGATTTAACGCAATTGCTGTAAGAATAATATTTTATCGAGTCAAAGGCGCCGTGGTGTCTAAGTGATGCTCCAAAACGTGAAAGACGCCAGGTGCTGGCGACATTTCGCGGCCTATAATTTGCGATCACGGGTATGCACGTAATTGAAGCCTTCGGAATCTACCCTTTCTTTTTGCGCGTTTTATGTTCAAGTTATTGCAGTATAACGCAGTTAGTTTAAACCTTTGTGTCAAACTTTTATGCAATTGGACATACATACCAAAATATTGTAGATATAAGAAAAGTAAAACGTGCCATAGATTTAAATAAAAAAAAAAAAAAAGTGTTATTAAATCATTTATGTTATGTAATATGCATACGTGCTGATGAAATAAAAAATATTAGTAAAAATACTAGGCCCCGCAAAAAGTCCTGTCGTTTTTTTCAAAGCATCTTGCTTACCTCGCTGCAATTTCTATCCATTTGCTTTAATGAAATCGTGATCTTTTGCATCCAAAATATACTTGTTTGAATTACAAAGTAAGGCATTCAAAACTAATCCTATTACGTAGCATTAAAATGATAGACCGTGAAGCGAGAATTCGCTCAGTATTGTTTTATGAATTTAAACTCGGGCTCAAAGTCATAAGAACGGCTTAAAACACGACAGATGTTTGGAGAGAAGACGTCACTTCCGATCGGAAAGCACAATTTTGGTTCAGCAAATTTCTCTCTTAGACGATCGGGAAAGCCGAGAGACTTAGATGACGACAAACTTCAAGAGTTAGTCGAATTCGATCCACGCCAAACCTGTTCAGAATTGTCTAAACTTATGTCAATATATCAGAAATTATGATTAATAAAGATTTAGCAAATAGAAGATATTAAACAACGAAACTGAATGAGGAAGTAAAGTATTTGATTCATCTTCCAGTTTGATTCATTTAATGTTACTTATGGATGTTGAATGGATATTGGAAAAGTCGTAAAGGAATCTGCTAGAAGAATATTAAATAACTAGATATTATAGTGTCTTACATTGAAATAATAATTTTTTCGTAGCTTGAAATATATTTCTATTATTCTATTTGCTTTTCCTCTATTTTCTATTTTTTTTATACATATTTCACTTCTACAGAGATTCAAGAATATATTTTCCTAAATAAAAAATTTTAAAATGTTATTTTCAATTTGATTAAAAGACATTTTCAATATTCAATAATAAAATTAAAATGTTTTCAGTAAAATATAGATTAATGTTAATAGTAGCTTGTAATTATAGAATCTAAGAGTTAATCAAATTAAATTAGTTGTACGTTTTATTAATGTATATATTTGCAAAATTGATTTTGGGATTAAATGATAATTGATAACGCGCGCGCGCGTATGTGGTGTGTGTTTATGTGCGAGTGTCTAAAACGGGATTTTTTTGCTAAAAAGATGATCATTTTATTTTAGATACAATCTATTGGGTTGTCCAATAAATTTGTTTTTTATTAAGGCATTTGTACACACAAATAGGTACTACCTGTCATTGAATTTCGTTCATTAAATTCGTATGGAGTAATCAACCCTAGTGTAAAAAAATTATGAATAAACTAAAAATGAAAAACTCAATAGTGAATCTGGATGAGAAAAACAAGAGCTACAAGATAACACTTGGTGATAAGTAATATCTGTTGTGACAAATAATGGCTTAATAAAAAACGGCACGAACTTATTGGACAATATAATATCTGTCAAAACTATACCTATTTTAGCTCTCCGTCTGAAAATTTTCTGATGATTTATTCAGAACTACGAATTTCCAAATATCTGTGCAGGTTTCGGCGTGCCGCTCGGCTTGTACAGCGCTTGGCTACCGATGCGGATGTACGGCGGCGGTGCGACCGGCGTCCCGATGCTGCCGCCACAGCATCCGTCCGCCGGTTATCCGACTCATTCGGAACTGCATCAGAGCCGGCTGCCTCAGCCCTCCGCACCAGTTTCCGGTCATCCGCAGGGATACTACCCGCTGGACGGTTGCCGTCGCGCCGCGAGCCAACGCGCGCCGAGCAGCTTCACCGACAGTGAGGACGAGGACGGCAGCATCGGCTCGCCGGCGTCGCCGGTTCACGACCTCTCCAAGTCGCGGCACGGTGAGAGATGCAATTTTATCTCTTCTCAATTTTTTAAAACAATCTATGAGCGCGAGAGATAAAAATCTGTAAAAAAGTCTCTTCTAAATGATAATTTTTCAGAGGATTGTACAGGTTTTTATTAGTGAAAAAAGTTTGATATTGCAACATTTATATTTGCAGTAAAGCGTCTGCCTCTTACGATTAAATGCGTAATATATAAATAATTTAGACAAAATTAAATTATATATTATTAGACATATTTTTATAAGCACACATTGCAAGTACTATTTGATCTTTTGGAAATGAAAGAAGATGGGAAATGTGCATATATTCTTAAAAACATCTGAAGTAACAGGCATACAGATGACACACATACAACTGTTTCATAACTCACGATAAAATTAGTGATAACTATATTATGCAATTATAAATGCAACGATTGCTATGGAAGTCTTTCTCAATTTCCTACAACAGCATAGGCATTTAGTTTGTCCATTTTAAATAAGAGATGATTAGATGAATTATTCATATTACACAATAAGCAATTATTGCAGAATAAAATATTTTATTGATAAATACTTTTCGCTAATATAATAGTTCAGAATAAATAAAAATTGATCAATATATAGACTTCACAATTTCAAACTAATTTAAAATTTTCCATTTTTCTTTATTGAAGAATATGTCAGCAATTATTGAAGACATATTAAATTTCTCTCGCTTGAAATAATATTTATATCTGAATTTTAGATAGCTTTTCAAGAAGAAATTATTGAGTTCTAATACGGTCGTCATTCAATAATTAAATCCAATATTTTGCATTATGTAAAAATAATGCCGCCAAAGCAATGGTCACCAAAGTATGGCACAGAATGATCTATAGATCCAATCGCGAAACGGGAGAAATCGGCGGATCCAATCGTCAAGTATTTACGAATTCCGGTGGCGTGTCTTCGGTCACGCAGTCGCCACGATCGACCGCAAAGGATCGAGATATACGGTAGCGTGCATAAATTGTATTGCCCCCGTGGCCCGATCTCATCGCGCGCGCGCGCACGTGCGTGCGTGTGTGTGTACGTATAAATGTGTTAATACTATATGACACCGAAGAATATATTCTAAGATCGAGTGTAGTCGAAGTTTTAATGTGTTTTTAAAAGAAAATAGTGCCTTTCTCCAGGCAATATTTATCAATCCTCGTATTTATATTTTTCTAAAAGCTTGTTCAACAACTAATTTGATAAAATTGCAACGAACATCAGATTAAAATACAAAAAAGAAAATTATAAGTGTGAGAATTTTCAAATGATTTCGAGAACACACGCTCCGACCGCCGAAAGTCGAAGGATAGGTGACATCGCCGATCACAGATCACGTATTTCCGTGTGGACAATTCCAATGGTGTCCAAGCGCGCGCATTTATTCGTGGCCGGACACACTTTTTATTGATGTACCGCCGACCGGCGGCAATTTCGTATGCGAGACGAAATGGCTTCGGGGAACCTGTCATCGGTCATTTATGACGCACCGCGCCGAACCGGTGCGTCGATCGTCATGGCGCGCCGCGACGAGGCGCGATCGCGACGTTCCACGAATTCGTCGCGATCCACCTACGTGTAAGCATTACCCTCTTTGCGATGCGTGGATCACCGATCCCGATCTTGAGCCAAGGAGACTCGAGGGAATGAAAAAAAAAGTCAGAAGAATTTGGAAACTGTAAATAAAATGTTAAGATCGGTTTTTATTCGATCTACATTTTAATCTAATTTTGAAATTGCATTATAATTTCAAGAAATTGAGAAGTTTTTAATTTGAGTACAGCTTATAAATTCAAACATTGAATAATTTAAAAAATTAAGTTCGTACCTTATAATTAGAAAGAGAAATAAATATTTAAGACTCTACAATTGATAATGCACGAATCGTAAAAATTCTGCATTAAAAAATTTTAATTTTTGTTTAAACAATTATAAAAAGTTGAATAATTTGATGGAATTTTGTAATGAAAAAGGTTATAAAAAATTATAACATTAAATTTACAAAAATCTAAAGTTCTACAATTAAATCAAGCTCTCACGAACTTTCGTATTTTATTAAATCAAATTGTTTAATCTTAATAAAATTTTAATAGTGTCATTTTTAGGATAAATACTTTTATAAATTTATCTTTATTATATGTTTTTACGACAGTTTTGATTAAATTAATATAATATTATATATATACATATATATGTCACCAATATTAATTTATAATAGTATAGTCTGTAAACGTTAATTTGATAAAATTAAATAATAAATTTAATTATTTAATCATGTAGAATAGTGATTACAGGTCACACGTGAAATGATCAAAATAAATTGGCATAAAAAAATTGAAGTTAAGAGAGTTAAGAGTTGTGCATTGAGTATGCATTATTGTTTTCGTATAAAATCGATTTTATTCTTCGTCAGTAGCGATTTTTTGTACCATCTACAAACGAGCAGTTATTTTAATGCCATCGTCGATTGAGACGATACGTCATAAATACGCAATGACGCAGTTAAGAAGATTTTATCGATTGTCGAAGTTATTATCCAATGACGAGAAGTTAAAAATAACTTTCACAATGTCTAAGACCTTCGAACTTTTCAATTATACCATTTCTGCGACTAAAGGTTAGATTAAATTTTTCGATTTGCATAAATAACTCAAATTAGAATACTATTTTACGTAGTCCTGTTAATCTTAATGCAAAACAGAGCTTTCACATAATTTAGCATATTTTCTCCAACAATTGAAATTAAATATTTAAAAAATATATTTTATTTTTATGAAAATAATACTGTCGTATTTTTCAAAACTTATTTAAATAATACATTTAATATGTTATTAAGTATTAAGCTGTTATTTAATTCTCAGAACATTAAGTGTGCGCTTTTGAATTTCATTATTGGTGATACAAAAATATATCGAATCCGTGAGAGTCGCATAGATGTATTGAAAATTGGATTAGTAATGGATAAGTACTTCGAAATGAGAACGAGTCTCGCGATATTCAGTTCCAAATTATTAATCACTGGCCCAGATGCGACACGGCGGAAAGTGTGTTAATGGCGTTTTCATCATGAGAACACGGCAAGTTAGCTACATGAATCGGGAATGTAGAAGAGTCGGACGAAGCTTTTGACTGCCTGTGCAAAATTTAGACTTCCATTCACGGCGGCGTGCGATTCGATTCGCCGTCGCGCTGCAAGAAATCGAATCGTTCATAAAATCTCGTTTTATCTCGTTTTATTGAAAATAACGAATGCAGATAGAACGTATAATTCTTTTTGAATTATGAATTGCGTGTTACGTGACGTAGAACTGACATTTACCGCGAATAAAATAAAATTATCTTCAGATATAATTGTAAGCTACTTACACGAAAATAAAATATCTTTATTCATCAAATAAAAAATTTTTGTAATGATTTGTGATCGCGTGTTTCATTTTTCAACATTACTTTGTGTCGCAACAAGTAATATAATAATTCGAAATTGGTTTCGAACGCGAAATATTTCAGTTTTTTAATTATTACAGTCCAAAGTGTTTGAGAATTTTATATTTTGGCGCACAGAAACAATTTTATTTCGAATTGGCGCTATCAACTTCTACTTCCAAAAGCAAACTAATTATGACTCACTAACGAATTAATTAATTATTGTAATCGTTTATTTCCGCGTTGTATTCGAAACTAATTCAACGACGTTGAACCAACACGGAAAGATAATCGTCGAATGCCACTTGAATTTTAATCACAATCGATTTTGCGACAGGAAGCCGATTAGCGTATCGCGCGTCGAACGAACGGAAGAATCATATTTCGATTTGCGTGCGAGACGAAAGGCCCTTTTAGACTGCGCCATTTGTCATTCATAGCCATCGGGACGACGACCGAGATGAAGGCGATTATATGAAAGACTAGCTTCAAGCGTGTAACAAAGTGACTGTCGCGCCGTGAATGGAAAACGTCAGTCAATTTTGCAGCACCGCCGTCGAGCACCGTGCGATATTTATAATGCCAGCATTGCAAAATTAACGATACAACCGATACAATCTAGATTATAACCATCAGCAAATTAACGATTTAACAATTAGTCATTCATTAGAAGCAATAGTTAAGAAAATTTGTTGATAAACATTGTAAAATAAAATCGAAAGTCCTTCTAAAATAATACTTCTTGCATCTAGTTTTTGAAATATGTACTTGCAACAATGTGGTTTCCTAATTGACGGTGAACAATAATAATTTTATTATCCGAACTTTAAGATTTTTACAAAAAACAATTGAATAATAGATAATAATAATGTAAATGAGATAAAAAATATTTTCTCAAGTAAGTGCAATAAAAAGAATGCAATTTTTTATACGTTTTGCATTGGCATTGTCATTTGACAACTACTTTAATTAAATTACATTTGTATCTTGCTTTAATGATGAAAACTAATCTATGTATGCTAATTAACGTAGAGAATAATTTTTCTCATACATATTTGTTTATTTCTTAAAATGATATATTACACAGTAAAGTTACATACATGTAAAATTATTAAACTGAAAAAGACACATTCTCTTTAACTTTTGCCCTGAAAATTATCGACTTGCTATTAAAAATTTTAAACAAAGTTCTATGTGTCAGCTATTATTGATGTTATTTTTCTGATGACTTATTCATCAAGTCTTGTTTTTATATTTTGTTACGTGTATGATCCTAAAAATATAAGCGAGCGATGCTTTATTTGCGATATACGTAGAAAGAGAAGAAACAAGCTGAACCGGCGCTTTGCTATATCGATCGTCGCGATGCCCGGCGACGTCATCATGCAGCATAAGCTAGCAGAACGACCGTTAATAAGCTCGATTGAAATTTCATGTCGCATGCCCAAAAATACTCTCATACGCGAGCGGGGCGAACAAGCGGTGAACGAGCGCTTCCTCCGACCCGATCCCGATAATTGCTTCCGGCGAGGCTCGCCGATCGATCGCACCGGGTGCTATATCGGGCCGCGATCGAGCAAATTATTCCCGAACGAGGTCGCGGATCTCGCCCGTCTTCTTAACGTTTAATGAGCCGGACATATTTTCCGCACGGCTAGAAGCACACGTGGACATTGAAACCTTGTCGCTATGTCACGAAAATAGTGATGAGAACTACGAAGGTATAATTAAGAATGTCTAACGAGGAAAGTGTGGAATTATAAATTTTTATACAACATTATAATCCCGAATCCCCCACGCTTGCTTGCATATATGAATTTTTTAATACTAAATTAAAATTAATGCTAAGGTGATTCAAGCGTTAATTAATTTTCTCAAGAAATTATTCAAATTTATACCACTTGGCAAAAATTTTTTTTCTTACGGCAAAAATCGATGTTATACTTAATTATGTACTGCGATAAAAAAAACTATTCTTACGATTTTGATGAAAAAAAACTGATAAATGAATTCATAATAAAGCTTTGAAAAATTACAATAGTTCGCTTGTCAATTATTGAGAAATTAAAGTTTGAAATTTGAAGATTTTTATTATACCACTTTAGTGATGAAGCACTGATATAACAATATGACAACACTGCATTATTGTGACGTACGAGGTTAATATAATGTTAATCCATTTTCCGTTATATGTCACTTTCGTCGACATATTTTATAATATAAAATAATCACAATTACGAATAGAATGATCACAATACACACATTGTTGTCACACTTACGACACTGCATAGTTTAATACACATAGCACATTTCGGACAATCATAGCTAAAAGTTTTATGCGTATAAATGAGAAGTTCGCCTATTATTCCCTCGCAAAAGCATTACTTTTGGCCAATACTGTCACGCTCGAGCCGTCTTAAACGCAAAAGTACGGGAACTGTTGGATTATAATTAAACTCGCGAGTCAATGCATTTTACGAAGGCCACAGATGCATAAATTGTGCCTCGTTATTTGGTAACCATACATGCAATAGAACGAGGGCATTCGACCCCGGGCTTTTTTCGCTTTTCCCGCAGTTTCCCCGGTCGGTGAATTTTCGTTATTCATTGCCCGAGTGCGGAGAGCCTGCGCGTCTGACACGATATGGGAGGATCGCATCTTGCTCCGTGAAGGACCGCACCGTACTTGTCGCAAAAAAAAAAGAAAAAAAAGGAACAGTGTCTCTTAGTAACCGAGTAGACGATACTGAGATTGGCCGATTGATCGGGGAATCCTATTATGCCAGACGCATTACGGCCGATAATTCATTTAATTTCGCTGTATATTTATATTGCGCTTTTCATTAAATTTGCATCGCACTGATACTGACCTGTACAGATTGGACAATTTAAAATAGAAGAAACTAAAAATAAAAAATCCGGAGAAAGAAAGCCCCGAACGAAGGAAAATAATTTTTAAATGTCTAAGAATTCGTGGATAAAAAATGTTTTACCCTTAAAAGATTTAAGAATTTAATAGATTCGTTAGCGAACAAACAGTCGATAGATTGAAAACAGCGGAATTGAATAAATAATGAAAATTAACTGGATACGAAGGACTTATAAATCAATAACGAAGACTTAAATGATTTGATTTCCGGTTATTTCATCATTGACAGGTTTCAATAATTGCCACTTGCCGACCGTTAAATAAGTTATGAGCTCTGGTGCATGCCAGCTATTTTCGCCGATTATTATTACGTGCGGCGAAATCGATAATATTTTAATATCAGGTTGTACATAGATACTGGCAGCTTTTCTTAGGGTGAAATCGATAAAGATGCTACGACCCAATTAATCTGTTGCGTGTTCGTGTAATTGGCGGGTAAATTTGCGACCCAATCGATCGAGAACAAATTACTTACTCCCCCTTGCAGTAGATAATATAGTATTTCATACGTTGTACTTTAGTTTTCTCGTGGCTGAAAACGTTATTTTAAAAACTATTTCTGTCTCTCATTTCTACCTGGAATATTTCTCAAAACCAGCACTTTATACAATCGTTGAATAAAGAACCGAGTAGAAAAATTTCTATATATTTTCATACGTATTTTAAAAAAATATATTGTCTGCACGTAATTAACAGTTTAAGTTAAAACAGTGTTAATAAACTAATTTATGTTTATTTTATGCACTCTCTTGGAACACTTTTTACCTTCGCGTAAAGTTTCTTTCTCGATTAAAACAAACATGTGTTAATGGCTTCACTTAATCATGCTATGTACCATCATTTCCGATTCGCCTTCACCTACTTGCTATAAAAGTCAAATTGCCGAGCAAGCGAGCGAACTGTCGCTCCCAAAGTCGTGTTTAAGTTTCGGGTTATAGCCTCGCTCCAATAACTCTATTCGCCAGGAGGAGAAGCACGGTTCATGCGTTTCGTGCTGCAGCCCGATAAATGAGGATGTAACGACGTCGTTCTCGCGGATCGATTCGCATGCTCGATTCCGCCGCGAAGTGTAAAGACAAGAGGCAGGGGACAACGCCCGTGTACGCTCGCGGAAGCGTTTCGCTCGCTTAATCGAAACCCTCTGAATAAGTCAACGACTGGAGAGTGCATCAAACCGGCATGGTGGAAAGTTGCTCGCTTCCATAAGCGCGCGGTCGATCGGATCCGCGAACTTCGGGATAAGAAAGACGCGAATCGCGGCCGATGAATAAATCAGGCTGACCATAGCCGAGTTGACCGTTGACAACGAACTTTAGCAGGAAATAATACGCCCGCGAATAACAATCGCCCTTTGATCATGCGATACGACCACGTTGCGGTGGGAAAAGTTGTGCGAATCACGTGCGGTTGCTCACTTGAGAAAATCCAGCGAGGAAAATGATTCTATTTATACGGTATTTCTGAAGGCAACTCGCACGTGTCTAAGAGTTTTAATTTGTGTTGTGTAAGTTACTCAAGCTAAGAGAATATATAATTTCAGATTAGACGATATTAAAAAAAAAAAAAAAACGTTAGACATGAATTTTAAGTTTAATTATCATTTTAATGGGTCAATAACGTTAATCTATATTTACGTTAGAAGATGAATGAATAACATTTATTGAATTGTAACTTGTTTATCGTTCTCGCAGAAGATATCGTAAATAGTTCTTTTTATATCAAACTTTTTTGAGAATTCCAAAAGTGTTCACCTTAAAATAACTGCATGCTTTTTCCATGTAAAAATCTTTATGTTGATATCGACATTGATATCGAAGATTATCCTCGGCAAACGCTTCTCTGGACAATCATTGACGGAAATTTCCGTTCCGATCGAGTCGATTGTCGAAACATTCACCAACCGAGCGCGAGCCATTCAAGCTGAGTTGTATAACCGCACTGTAGGAAATAATTTTAATAAATGATGAACCGACGGAGTCATCAAACTCCGCGGTAACTTTGTTTCGTATCCCAGTGCATATTACATGTCGCGCTCGGCTGTCTCGCGGATAAAGGAAAAAAAGCTGTACGGGAAATTATGGACGGGGAAACGTCGCCGACGATCGAAGTGCGCAACTTTTATGAAGCAACGACCAATCTGCTTCGCATATTAAATAGCCGCTCTCGGCTATACATACCGCGGCGATGTATTCTCGATAGCGATAAACTCCGTTGATGACTTAATATCGCGGGAGTTTGTTGAGAAGTTTAACCCTTGTACCTGGAATCGTGAATTTTTAACTCACTTTGTTTGATGGATGAATTTTTCAAACAAACAGTCGAAGCGCAAATGGATTTTCTCGCAGATTAATCAGAAATTCTTAATGAATTGATCAATCGCGAGTGTCTTAGAAACTGAAATGATATCTTCAATCTATTTTTGTAACGAGCGAACCAATAATGTATCGAATGAGACATTATTGATGAAAAGAAAAATGGAAATTGATATAAGTTAATTTTTTTGCTATATTCATAATAAAATTCTTTACTTTACAAATTATATTTTCAGTTTCAATTTATCGCGACGGATATTTGACAATCATTCACGTGTTGCAGGATCCGAAAACGGACGCGCATCAGCCGAAAGTGACGAGGAGGGTGGCGGGGCTGCGGGTTCCGGCGAGGGTCATGACATCTCCGACGGTGTCGTCGGCGGCGTCGGCAATGCCGTGACGAGTCCCAGCGGGTCCTTAGAGAACGGACAGAACTCGTCAGCATCGAATGCCGGCGGTAACAAGGCCCGCCGGCGACGCACCGCGTTCACTTCGGAACAGCTGTTGGAGCTCGAGCGAGAATTCCACGCGAAGAAGTACCTGAGTCTGACAGAGCGCTCGCATATAGCGCACGCGTTAAAACTGTCAGAGGTGCAGGTCAGTGCTGAACACATGAACGGTAGTACTTGAAATACTTAACAATATCAAAGAATAAGTTAGAAGATCGCGGCGAAACAGAATTCTGCAACCCCAGAAATCCGTTTGCGAAAGAAGTTAACTATTGAATTGAACTTCCGTAATTGATGTCTATGTGTTGTGTCCTTTGTATGTAACTTTAAAATCAACCACTGCGACTCTGGCGCAGGTGAAGATATGGTTCCAGAACCGGCGTGCCAAATGGAAGCGGGTGAAGGCCGGGCTGAGCGGCGGCGGCGTCGGCGTCGGTTCGGCGACGGCGGCCATGACGCCCTCCGGCGCCTCAGGCCGCCACAACGGTACCGCCGGACAACACGCCGGCTCCGGCACCAGAATAGTGGTGCCGATACCGGTGCACGTGAGTCGTTTGGCAGTCAGGTCGCACCACCATCATCTGGAGAAGTGCGCGAGGGCGCCGCGCGCGAGGCCGACGCCACCCTCGGGTGCCGATGGCGGATCCGCGGGAGCGGCATCGCTGGGCGATGCGTTAGGACTAGTGAATTCGAACCTGACCGGTCAGGTGCAGCCGCCTCTGGGCGCCGGCATGGGGGTGGAGATCGGTGTCGGGGGTGGTCTCAGGGCATTCGCGGTGCCGGCGCACCGGGCCGGTCTCGGGGTCTTCTGGAAGGTAGTGAACATCGTGAACAATGAACTTGAATTGCTGGTACGCGGAAGGAAGAGAGATAGGATATAGATTGATAATTGGTGTATAGGACGCGGTGTATAGAACGCGTGGAAAGATGGAGCCGGGTCGATTGCTTGAAGAGTGTAAAAGGCAAATTTTTTTCAACCAAGTCGAATATAAACACATTAGTGTCGATTGAACAACGTTCTAAAATAAACTTTAAACGACTGTGAAATGTTGTTACGATCACCAGAAGGAACGTATTGAATTTTTTTTATCTTATGTAATTCTTATATATTTTCTCATCACTTTGCTCTGAAGTTACGTCTCAAGTGCTCGATCCCTTTCCATAACGAAGCTTTCGACCTTACAACGTGCATTGTAAATAGTAAGTCCTAGAGGTTTGTAAATATATACGTACACCACGCGTAGATAGTAACTTCACGTAAACACAATAGCTCGTACCTGTAGATAGTTTACGTTAAACAATGAGGTTTCAGCTTGGCGAACATTACGTGGCAGCAATATCGCGTATCGATCAGTCGTGCGATCATCGCAGCTGCCTTATACCGGCGAAACATTACAAGGAGGCGGAAGCGCACAAAATGTCGGGCTATAGACTTGCATACGTTGTAATATCGTGTCGGCAATAAAACGTACGACTGTAATCCGAAATGTCGTTTGCCTCCTTATACCTCACATTTATGTGGCACAACTAGGACTGATTTACAAGGATAATTTGTTAAAAAAAAAATAGCAACTACTTAGTCTCTCTCTGATATCCAAAAATATTTACGTAATAAAGAAGATTTATACTCATCGTGTTGTTGTAAATCGAAAATGGATGCTCTAAAGCGAAACTTTAAGAATTAGATAACCGAGGAGCAAATTAATTCTACCAGCCAAGTCTTTCAAGATTTATTGCAACATTTACGACACAACAACAATGGTTGTTCACAATTTTAAAGTCTACACAAGCGTGTGCAATTAATCGTAATTATTGATGGATTCATATTTCAAGCATCTTGAAGAATCACTCAAAATTCTCGATTTTATATTCACACGTTGCCAGCTAGTTTGTCGAGTCGGTTTTCGAAAAGATTGATCGTCATAGATCGTTAATCGAGGGCTTCTACGTTCGCCTTGTTTTGACAATTTTGTCGCGGTGCTCGAGGGACCGTCCTTCGTCGATTCATCGTCATCGTGTGCTCTCACGGGATCACCTCGTCGTCCCCAAACCGACGGATTGCGCATTTTCGCAGGACACGACGCGTGCGAGCCCGAGCCTCTGAAAGGGATCCATGGACGAAATCGGGGTCCCCTTCGTTCACCTCGTAGGCGTGACCCCATATGCCGAGTTCGGTCAGCAACTGTAGGACGATGCACGATGCAAAACGCGTCAATGTGTCAGCCGGCTAATTCGATTTAGCCTCCTTTGACTCGGAACGGCCGTGGCTTTTGAAGCGGAAGCGCGATAGAAATATACAAACGCCGAGTTTTTCTCGGCGCAATAATTGATGGACAGGTGACTTCCTCAGGTAAGTGATGAAAATATATCAATGAGGATTATATTAAATTTAATAACCACGTTTTGCACTTTTAACAATGCTATTTCTAAAGCATGATTATTATTACAAAGTTTCCTGACTCTTGTGCATTCTGTGATTTCTTATTTTTATTTCCTCAATGTACAGTATTATTTTTAAGACAATTCACAACTGTGATATTTAAATTGAAAGAAATAACGGTGATTGAAATGACGTTTGTTCACTCTGATATTTTATAAATCATAGTATATTTTTATCAGATTAACGCGGCACATTTTTTATTCATAAGTCTATTAAGATAATAATTCAAAGTAACAATATTTGTACTAGTAATCAAAGTCATACTCAGTCATTGAATCGAAAAACGAAGGTGAAAAAGCGTTACAGCTGCAAGAAACACGAGAATAAAATAATAAATTGGACGTAACTTGTTTACGAATCATACTTTATGAATAATAAAAATATTCAACAAGAATGTTAACAAGAAGACAACGATAAATGGAAAGAAACGAAAAGTTGACGGGGTGGTTGTAGGGAGGAGGGGGGGGCTTGAAGGGGGCCGAAAGAAGCCAAAGGGGAATTGGGGTCGTATACAGTGTACACAATGGCAAAGCAGAGTGCATTACGGTTAATACACGAAAAGGACCGGCGCGGTCGTTTAGCCGGCGATCTCGGCAGTTACTGCGCCTCGCGCGAGGGATAAATCATCTCTCCCGACGCCGCCACGCCTACCCGGAGGACGCGGAAAGAGCGACTCTCCCCTATAGAGCACGGTAACGTACGACGGGCGGTGGACAACGACGTTACCGCGTCCTTTGCGGTCGATGAGAACGAGCCGGCGGCTTCCGGGAGAAGCGGAAATCTAATAATCGTACCGCGGATGCGCACCGGAAGGTGAGATTTGCGGCGGCGGCGGCGGCGTCGCTCCCGATTGTCACTCGGTCGAGCTGGAAGAAATGCAATAATTCGGGATTGCTGTTTAACATTATATTTTTTATATTTAAAAGTTAAAAAAGTGTAAAATTCTCTATCATTGTTTTTGTAGTGGAAAAAATTTACGTCGAATAAAGACACTTTAATAACTATATCTACTAAAAATATCTAAAAAGAGAATTAATAAAGTCTAGTTTGATAAAGAGAGAGAGAGAGAGAGAGAGAGAGAGAGAGAGGAGGG